CTCTTCTTTTTTTTGCTGAGGAAGACTGGCCCTGGGCTAACATCCGTGCCCATCTTCCTCCACTCTACATGGGACGCCGCCACAGCATGGCTTGACAAGCAGTGCGTCAGTGCGCGCCCGGGATCCGAACCAGCGAACACCGGGGCGCCGCAGCAGAGCGCCCGCACCTAACCGCTTGTGCCACCGGGCCGGCCCCCCTGGGGGGTTCTGAGGGTCCGAGCAGATGGAGCCTAAATCCCGTGTCCCGGGCGCTGCCCTCTTCTGCACCCCCAGGAAAGCCCCCACACCACCTGTGGAGTCCTAGCCTCTGCCCGCAGCCCTCCACTGTCCCTGGGTCGCCCCACCCTCAATCTGTCCCCAGTCTGCTCCAGACCCAGACCCACCAGTCCCCAACCCAGCCATTGTTGATTTCTCCCCTGGCTTCTAGGGAAAAGGAGCCCCTTCCCCCGCATCTGTCCCCTCCCTTACATCAGGAACCCGGACTTCAGTTAGGGGGGTTGTCTCTGCCCCTCAGGATGTAGGCATGACTGGTTTTGGTTTGAAGCCCTATCAGTGTTGCGACCTGTGGAGGATTCCCGGATTTCTGCACCTTCTGCAGTGCCTCTCCTGCCTGTCTCCATGCAAAGCTGGCACATGCAGGGCCACCTTTATTTCTGGAACAGCAGTGAGCAGTTCCCTCTCAGCCGGGCAGGCAGCCTGGGCTGGCCTGTGACGGGCACTGCCCTGCTGATCCCATGTGGCAGTCCCAGCACCCCAACCAGCTGCCTTTTCTCTACCCGCCAGCTCTGGTTCCCTTTGCCGCCTTGTCCCCTCCATTTTAGGAGCCCTGGGTGGCTGCCACCCAGTCCTGGGTCTCCCTTGAGCCACAAGCCCTGGTCCCAGCATTAAAGCACTCTTCCTGAGCAGCCTGGGTGGCAGCTGTCGCCAACCTTCTCCACGTGGGTGGTGGGGGCACCTCCACTGGCCTGGCCCTCCTGCTGGACTCTCAGCCCCAACTTCCACAACAGGAACCTCCTTCACGCCCTCTTCCCCTTGGCGAGGCCAGTTCTGCCACCTCTGAACCTGCAAACCACAGAAGTGCCCAGGTCTGTCCTGTTTCAAAAGAAAAGAGGCTGCTGTTTGGCTAGAGCCCCTCCTCACCTCCCTCTGACTTCTGGAAAGAGAAATCTTCACTCGTGTCTCCACCTCCTCCCCAGCTCCTCGCCCTTGTCAAGGTCACTGGTGACTGCCATTTCTCCAAGCCGAGGGGCATTTGTCAGGCTGTCTGAGTGAGCCTCTCTGCTGCTGCAGCCCACTGCTCACTTCTCCACACCCTCTCCTCTCTCCAGCCCACCTCCTACAGGCCTGATACCCTCATTCCTTCCTGGAGTCACAAGGAGGTGCAAGGACAGGCCCAGGCCCTGCAGCCTCAGCTTCACCGCAGGTCCCAGGTGTTCCCAGGGTTCCCCCCACCCCACCCCGCCTACCCCTGGGTGATCACATCCTTGCCTTGGCTTTATCCTCCATCTTACGCCATCCTGTCCCTCACCTGCACTTTTCCAGCCCTGATGGCCCTCTGAGCCAGCGGAATGCCCAAGTACCTGGCCCAGGCCCAGGCCCAGCCACCATAACTCCAGGCCCTTAGGGTTCAGGGCCAGGGGAGACCAGGCTAGGGAGCTGGTGCTGGCCAGGGGGCCAGGGAGGCTGTGTGCAGGGGAAGAATTCTGACCAGGGAAAGGAAGGGCAGGATAGTCCACCTCAGGGAAACAGCACAGCCAAACGCACCGCGGTGGGCCAAGCGCACATAACCCCAGTATGACGGGGAAGTCAGGGAGACGGTTCCCTCCATGGGCTCAGGGAGCAGGTCACCTTCGATCACTGTCCTCTCATTTTCTGGCCATGTTCTGGTACGAGAGGTCACGCTGGGGCTCCAGTGGGGCTGCTGACACCTCAACCAGCGTGTCTCAAACTGGGCTCACCACGCTCCGTCACCACCATCTTCCACTCGATTATTTCCATTTGGGGCAAAAGACACAACCTCCACCCTGCTGCTCACACAGCAGCCTCCGAGTCACGCCACCACTCACTCTGCATTACTCACCAAGCCCCGAGATCATGGCTTCTCAGCTCTCAGCTCTGCCTCGACCCCACCAGCCACTGCCCCTTGGGCAGGCCTCCATTTCTGGCCTGGGTCTTCTCACAGCTTCTGACGTGGTCTGCCTGCCCAGGCTTACTCCCCCCTCCCATCAACCCGTTCTTCACTCCAAAGCCGCAGGCTCTTTCTAACTCGCACATCTGACCAGTCTCTCCTCCTGGAATTCTTCAATGACCCCCTAAGCATTTTGGGGGTATTATCTAATCCTCACAATGACCCTTTGAGGAAGTTAGCACCATTACCCTCATTTTGGGCACGAGGAACGGGCCTAGGAAGGTTAAGCGCCTTGCCCAGGCTCAGCCAGCTAGCGAGTGGGGAATTGACACTCAAACTCCAGGGGCTGGGCCTGGCCCATGTGGCTTCCTGCAGCACCTGCCTCCTACACAAGGGCTCACGGAGGGTCCAGTGACCAGTCACGGGGCCAGGAGGGACCCAGGCCACCTTCCCCTTGGCCTCCCAGCTCCAGGCAGGGCCCTAGGGTGCGATGGGCCAGGGGCTGTGGAAAGGACATGGCCAGGGACACACACTTCTGCCTTCTCCCTCTCAGCTGCATCCGCCTGGCATAAAGTCATAGTGTCAGGAGCCCCTGGTCTGTCATTGTGCAGGTGGGGACTTCCAGGAATAAAGGAGGGACTTTGGGAAACTCAAGTCAGAGACCCTGATAGGAAGAGGAATAGAGAGGTGTGGGGTGGACTCCTGACTCCCCTGAAGGTTTTAATGGGGAGAAAAGGACCCACTGTCCCTACTGAAAGACGGTGGGAGAGAGAAGTCCAATGGCACTTCGTAGGGACCTGAGGGAAGGGAGGGGGCAGGCTAGGGAGATAGAGACCAGGAATAAAATACCAAATGGCCTCAAATAATTGGAAAGATGAACTTATCCCAAGGAAGCCATTTCAAAGAAGAAAGAGGAGAGTCTGGCAGCCTGATGCGGCAGCCTTATCAAGAACATCAGGAAACTGCAGACAATCAAGTGTCCCGGGCAGGGCGCCTTCTCCCTGTGGACAGTGCCATTCTTCCGAGTGACCATGAAGCCACACCAGAGGGGGCATAACGCCGAGAGATGGCACCTGCTCTCTTGACCTGGCTAGATAAGAGCTACATGTAGCCCAGGCAAGGCTGGGAGGATACAGAACAAAAACATAGTTGTGCTATTGGGGGGTAATGAGTAAAGGTGATTTTTTTGTATAATTAAAAAAAACTAGGGCTTATAAAATATTTTTCTTTAAATAAAAAATGTCCTATAGGTAAACAGAGCATAGCACGTGCAGGACCTGACACCTACCACCATCACTGGGAGAGAGAGGCCCCTCGGGCACAGCTGGGGGTGGCCAGCTGTGGGAGGGGGGCTGCAAATCCCTGAATGTCTCCAGCCAGATGTCAGGCCCCGAGAGGGGCGTGAAGTCAGAGGCAGACGTCTGGGGTGCTCCCTCTCGCTGAGCACAACCTTGGAGGGTTGATGCGAAGGGGCCTGATGGGTTCTTGCTTTTTGAGGACAGGATGGGCGGCGGGCAAGAGCCCATGGGCTGGCCCTGACCGCCAGGGGGCAGTGTGCGACTCTCTCCCTGGGCCGGTCAGAAGGAAGGGGGAATCCTGCTGGTTTCCAGAAACCCAGGGCCCCGCACAGGGAGCAGGTTCTCAGAAAGGGTGCTGACGAATCCCCAGCCCTGGGTGCACACGAAGGGCACCGTCTGCCCTGGACCCACTGTCTGGTCTGGGCTCAGCACCCTGAAGGCCAGCATGATCTCCTCACTCCACCAGTCAGGGTTCACAACCTCCGGGCCCTGTCTGCCTTTGACCCTAAGCCATTTGTCTGGCATTTATTGAGTGTCTACTGTGTGCAGGCACTGAGCTAGGCTCTAGGGATACCGAATTGAGGAAGAGCGCCCATCCTTCAGGAGCTCACAGCCCGGGGGGGCTGGACACACAGACAGCACAAAGGAGGGAGGGGCCAGGCGGTCTGACGGCCCCCAGGGGAGTGCTCTCTGAACCAGGTCTTGAAAGATGAAGAGGGTTTTGAGCAGGGAAGAGACACAGTCTGGTTTGTACTTAAATCACAGATCATCCAAACCACAGACCGCTGGGCAGCTGTTGATGAGACAGAAGCAGGTAGACACACTCCAATGTGGATGACCCCGAGATGCGGTAAGTGAAAGCAGCAGGGTGGGGAAGAGGACACAGGCGCATTTCCTGAACATGCATGCAGACACTGCTCCCAGTGGTGGACCCTGGGGACCCAGCCAGGAAGGAGACTTCCCACTGTGGATATTCCCACGCTGTATTGATTCTCTACAAGGTGCACGTTTTACCTTTTCAAAAACCGGAAGACAGGGAGGAATGGGGAGCAAGCGCTTAGTGGGCACAGGGTTTCCTTCTGAGGATGAAATGTTGAGGACCAGATGTTGAGGTTCTGGGGACCAGGTAGAGGTGGTGGTGGCACAGTATTGTGAATGCACTAAATGCCACTGAACTGCCCACTTTAAAATGGTTAAATCCAATGTTTAACAAGACAATAAAACAAAACACTTCCATGGCTGGCTAGAGGTGGGGATGTGAGATGGGACATGACTACCATGGAGCAGGCCCAAAAAGGGGTCCCCGTGAGGGGGTGGTGGGGGGAGGAGAGGAGGCATAACACCATGGCCACACCAGCCGACCTGGCCTGAGGGAGGCAGGCCTCTGAAATATTGGATACAGCTCTGCACCCCCACCTCCCAGGGCCAGAGCATTCTCCACGCCCTACCCAGGGAACGGGTCTTACCCAGTTCTGGCCTGTGTCACAGTGTCTTAATGTCAACCACAAGATGGCCCTAAGCGCGCTTATGTTAAGAAGTTACCGCAGCGAAGTTGGGGGCATCCCCAATTGTCAGCCCCAGAAATGCACACTGCCATGTGAGACCAGTGCACAGCCTTCTCTCGTCCAGAATCGCCTGGAAGGACACCAGCAGCACAGGCAGGAGCACACGGGGCTCCTGCTCTCACAGGTTGACAGTCAGGGGACTGGGGTGGGGTGGGGGTGGGCAACAGCGTCATCTCCGCTGGGGCCTCAGGGAGTCTCCTGGGGCAGGGGCTCTGCAGCCCACTGAGGGGTGGGCAATGGCCATGTAAAGGCCTGGAGGCAGAGGCTCTTGGTTCAGAAGAGGAACTGAGAAACAGCTGGCCCCCGAGAGCCGGCAGTACTGGGGGCAAACCTCGGTTCATCCTGGGCCAGGCTTCCTCGGGCGGCAGCAGGACGGTGCTGACGGGAACACGCATGTCTCCGGAGGCAGCCAAAGGAAGAGGAAGCGCAGGAGCATTGGTCTCTGCCACAGAGTGGGGGAGAGCAGCGGGAGGAAGGAGCCGAGCAGCAGCATCACAGGAGAGCGGCCAAGCCCCAGGCAGCTGCAGGAAGGACAGGAGGGCGCCAAGGCACTCTAGCAGAAGGTGGGAAGCAACAGGGACCGGCATCTGTGCAGGCAAGCGTTGCATTTTCTTCATATTATATAGGTACACCCAATTAAAACGCAAGGTATTAGAAAAGACATTAATGTTGACTTCTATAAACTTCCAGATAAAATACTCTTGTTTTGAATGAGCACAACTTGTTGACACTGGGTTTTACATGTTAGAGAGACCCTGCAATTCTTGACTGAGATGTTTGGACCCTGATTCCTGACGGCCCCTCCTCTCTTTCCTCACATTAGGGAGCACATCTGCATAGCAAGCGCTGTGAACAAGAGCCACGCAAACACTCGGAGTGGGACTTGGTTGGCACAGGCCGGGGCAGCGCACGCAGCAGTGTCTCTGCTCAGATGGAGGGGGCTTTTCTCACCATTCCATCCGCTAATGTGGCCTTTCCAGTTCTTCTTGAAGGGAGCACATCCAGTGCTGCCTTCTCCACGGGTGGACGTTGTCTGGCCTGGAGATGACGCACCCAGGATTTCCCATCCCACTGAAACACTTGCATATCAAATATTTCACAGTGATGTTGTTCCATTAGTTCTCATTAATTTTATTTAGGACTCAAATTAACACTGACCAAACATATTACTAAATCACTTTTCACTTTTCCAAAGTTAGATTTTGCTGCAAAGCCACTCATTCGCTCACTACACATTAGTATATTTTCACATGGTCCTCGCAAATTTTATTACATTCATTCAGATGCTCCAAAGCGTCAATCCAGTAATCCATTTTTCAGCCAATAACCACCCTATATAAGAACAGAAAGGTAAAATGATTCATGCAACTTTTTTCTCTTCAATCTTTAGCTCATAAGCTTTTGACAAAACGTGTCCTTTGTTAGTCAATGCACTTCAGTAGGAAACAGAGCAGAGGTCTGCTCCTGTATCTTCCCATGAAGATAAAAACAGGGGCTGGGATGCCCCACTGGATTGCATGAGCTTCACCACGTCATCACTGGACCAGATCAGACCTGCAGGCTCCCTCTGGCCAGGGGTGCTTCTCACTGATAAAATGGCTTCTAACTCGTGTAACTAACTGAGTAGCCAGGTAATACACCTGTGGATTCAGCAATCTGAAGCGGAAGGTTTTTGTTAGTTGGTGTATCTCTATGTCATGTCACAGGTCAGAGTGTCTGCATGACAGTGTGTCCACTGATTTTGCTTCCTTGGTCCCAAGCGCAGAGGTGACAAATTTCATACGGCAGGATAAAATGAGTGTGTCTGCAAGGGTGTGAGGCATTTCATCTTTAGCAACGAATCACCTGACCCTGTACCTAACTTCTCCACCACAATCTGACACTAACATAACAAAGATCACAACTTTTTTTTACCCCAGATTATTTTCAAAAATCCACACACTGTTCCACCTTACTTAGATGTTGCAGGGTGAAGCACCCAGGAGGTGTGCTCGCTAGTCCTGCTTCATTTGGTAACTTCTCCATGCAAACTCCACATTTAGGCAGAGGACGAGAACAATCAAGATACACAAATACATGTTTGAGACAGTCGCTGTACTGCTTAATTAGTGGCAATTTTTTTTTGACCAGTGTTACTCCTGTGAATTTGATGACATTCTGGATTTAATAAAAATGTGGGTAAGTAAATATCCATAAAAAGTAAATCTATTCCTGGAACAGAAAAAGGCCTGCAGAAAAACAGAGAATCTGAATAAAGACTGTAATTTAATAAGATTATACCAAGGTTAATTTCTTTGTTTTGATACACATACAATGTTAATACCTGGGGTGGGGGGAGGGGACCTGGGGAGGGTGTATGGGAATGCTATACATCCTTGTGACTCTTCTGTAAATCTAAAATTATTTCAAAATAAAAAGTTACAAAAAACTGAATCTATTAAATATAAAATACTTAAGGGGACTATAAAGGCTTTATAGCTTGGGGAAATGGATAAGAGAAATTTGAAGGTCTTCTGAAATCTTTGGAATTTTCTAAAACAAGTTGCCCTGAAAAACTAAGAAAATAAGCATGCAGCTTATAAAAATAGGAAAAATTGAAATACTAATTTTACTTCAATAATTATAACTCTGAAAAATTCATAAAATACAAATGACTTACTCTTGTCTTACAAATTATTTTTGAAAAACTGCTTTTCTGAAGCCCTAAAGACATACAGTCCACTTTAATGAGTCATTTAATTTAATGAACTGGTTTAAACTATGTTCAATTTTTTTTTTTAATATTTCTAGAAAAACAAACGATAGTTCATTATGCAATTCATAAAACTTTGGCTAATTTTTTTTTTTTTTGTGAGGAAGATCAGCCCTGAGCTAACATCCATGCTAATCCTCCTCTTTTGTTTTGCTGAGGAAGACTGGCTCTGAGCTAACATCTATTGCCAATCCTCCTCCTTTTCTTCCCCAAAGCCCCAGTAGATAGCTGTATGTCATAGCTGCACATCCTTCTAGTTGCTGTATGTGGGACACAGCCTCAGCATGGCCGGAGACGCGGTGCGTCGGTGCGCGCCTGGGATCCGAACCTGGGCCGCCAGTAGCGGAACGTGCGCACTCAACCGCTAAGCCACGGGGCCAGCCTAATTTTTATCATCAAAAGCTAATAATAATTAATCATGAAGAAATAAGAGAATATTAACAAAATAAATTATGTTCTATTTGGGAAGACCTAATATCAGATAACAAGGACAATAATGAGAATTAAAAAAAAAGATAATAATCAACATACCTTTCAGTTTAGCAGAAAAGTTAGGAAGATATGAAACTCAAAGAAACTGAATCTTTCACATGCACACACAAGGATCTCATGATATAGAAATTGTGACTAAGTAGCAATCGCCGTCCCTGGGCTGGATCTCTGGAAAGGCCGGGCGGGGCCCTTGGGGCAGCCACAGAGAATCCTCCGTACTTACCAGAAAAAGAATCCCCCAGTTCAGGAAGTTTGCAGAGGGAGCCGTGCAAATAGTGCTCAAATATACCTTCAGCTGCTTCTAAAAGGCTGTTTTTAAAAGGCCTTCAATGATCCAGTGATAAAGCATTGACAGACATTGCGGGGGTGCAGCCTCCCGCACCCCATTTGGTGGCATGCCTGGGGGGAGCCCCTGGAGGCACCTCTGGTTGAAGAGACCAGACTTGGACCCTTGGAGTTCAGGGAATGAGACTGTGTTTAATGAACACCAAAGTACAGGCGAGGGCTGTGGGCTCAGAGGAAGGGGGAGGGGTGAGGGCTGCAGTGGAGAAGGGGGGACAGCGGGGGGGGGGTCAGGTGGTGAGTGGTAACACCACCTTCCAGCACCTCTCCCCTCCACAGGGACTCATACTGTCCCCCTCAGAGCCTCTCAAAAGTCCTGTGGGGGGTGGGGACAACAGAGCAGGATGACTGGCCCCGTTTTACAGTTGGGGAAACTGAGTTCCAGACAGGTTCACTGGCTTGCCCAAAGCCACACAGGGTCCTGGTCCTCCCTTCTGCAGCACCGTGGCCTGGCTCAGAGGAGATCTGAGTAGGTGGGCAGGGAGGACGAACACCCCATGAGAAGAGCAAGCAAAGTGTGGAGATGGGCAGGGTTGAGTATGTGGGGACACGAGGGGGCTGGCTGGAGCCACGTGCAGATCAGGCTGGGGGCTGGAAGCCTGGCACCTATGGCTCCGGGCCACCACGGCCTCAGCACGGCCACTTGGGTGTCTGCTTCTCTCCTCTTCCCTCTGGGGCGCCCAGGCCCTCAGGACCTGCTGAGGGAGGTCATGGGGCAGGAGGGGCACCCCCCGCAGTGCTCACAGGCCAGTCTTCATTTGGAACCTACTGTGCGTGGGCCCAGCTCAGGGCTTGGCAGGCAAGGAGGAAGGGGAGAGGTGGTGCCACAAGAAAACCATGCTATGTGGCCGATCACAGTGCTGTGAGAGGGACGCAGAGGGAGGACATGTGCCATGCAGAGGGGTACGTGGTGAAGGTGCCACATGAGCCGGGAGCTGGGGAGGGCGCAGCCTGGCACCTGGGTGTGTGCGGCCTGATAGGCGAGGTGAGTAGAGCTGGATGAGACAAGCACGCCATGCTGAGAAGTCTGGACGGAATCCCAGGGCCCAAGTCACTGTAGTGACGTGGAGGCGAACTGGGGCGGCTTGGGAGAGTGCACAGGAGCTAAGGAGGTCCCAGGCCAGAGAGGCGGAGGGCTGAAGAAGACTCCATGGGTCCAGGCTTCTCTGGACAGGCCCCGGAAAATGGAGCTGCCCAGGGCTGCCCAGCTCCCTGGGCTGCCCTGGGCAGCCTCTTCAGATGTGAACACACAATGAGGCCCAGCAGAAGCTTCAGGCTCTGCAGAAACACAAGGACACATATGTCCCCTCCAGCCTTTGATCCTCCCTTGGGAGAGGCCCAGAGCTCAGCACAATCCTGCCCTCTCCTCTTTCACTTGCCATTACTGTCCAAGAGCTGGCCCTGGGAGGCCAGAGTGGGGAGGAGGGAACTGGGTCAGAAGCCCCAGGCAGACACTCCTGCCAAGGAACGGTGCCCAGAGTGCCTGTCTCTTCTCGGGACCAACACACATCTGGGGAGCCACCAGCAGCAGGCCAGGTGGGCGGCTATAGGACTCTGCTCAGGAGCCATGCTAAGAGGCACCAGCAGGGGGGCCTGTTGACCCACACTTGGCGCAGGTTCCTTCTGCCGTTCCAGTCCCTTCCAAAGGGACTAAGGCTCAGGGGCTGCAGGATATAGCCCCTCCCAGGTCTGGGGTACAGGATGCCTCCACAGAGGAGAGCCAGGGTCTGATCAGGTTTCAGCAGGGCAAGGAGGAATGGTCCTGGCCAGCTAAGGTCCTGGCAACCCTGCCCAGCCCAGCACCAGAGCCCCAGCTGCACCCCACACAAAGTTGGGGGGATCTTCATTCACTGCCTCCTCCCTGAAGTGGGGGCCTGGCCACCGTCCCATCCCACCTCAACCCGCCCCACCCCACAGCGGCAGCTGGATCACCATGGGCGCAGGCCCGTCAATGGGTGTCAGGGTCTTGGAAGGCCCAGGCCTCCACGGCAGCGATGAGGAAGTTCTCAGAGCAGAGGGGCTGGTTGTTGAAAGTGTCGCAGTGGCCGGTGCGGCCCCGGTTCAGCTCCCCATCGATGTAGAGCGCCTGGCCACCCCCTCCACCTGTGGGATGCTCAGTTAGTGGCTGCCCCTCTGTGAGTACTGCCCCCCAAGGCGCTCTCCTCTGGCTCCTGAGCATCTCCACTTGGACGGGGCAAGTCTCGGAGCTGTCCCTGCCCCAGCCCCAGCCCTGCCAGAGGCCTCTCTAAAACCACAGGGCTGACCTTGGACCCTCCAAAGCCCCCCGGCAGGGTCCAAGCTCCAGGTTAGACCCCAGTTCCCAGCCCGTTTCCCCAGCATGCACCCTCCTGTCCCTACTCCTGTCCCTCGTGCCTGCTCCACCCCCTAACAATCCCACTCCCTTCCCGTGCCATCATCGGGGCTCTGCCTGTCCCTCAGGCGAGGCACCTGCCACCCGGGTCAGCAAGGGCTGGCCCAGGGGCTTCGGCTGCCCATGACCCTGCACCCTCCCACCAGGCTGAGTGACCAAGGGCAGGCAGGAGCCCGGCCTGAAGTGGAGGGAGGTGCCCACCTATGATGAGGCAGTCGTTGCCCCCGGCCATGAACATGGACTCAGTTTTGGAGGGCAGGTTGAAGTGCCGAGCAGCCAGGAACGGTGAGAGGCGGTCAGTAGGGTCTGAGGACATGGAGTGGCAGAGTGGGGATGGAGTGGCGGTAGTTTCCAAGGACCCCGGCTTGGTCAGCTCCGGGTGTTTGATGACCACCCACTCGTAGCGCTGGACCTCAGGCTGCAGCTGAGGGTGGAAGGGCAGTGTAAGGAGCTGGCACACGGTGCCCTGCAGGGCCCCTCCTGCCCACTTCCCCCACAAATCTTCATCAGAGCCCTCTGTGTGTGAGGTCTCGTGCCAGGGTGGGGAGATGGCACCATACAGGGCAGACAGGGCCTGCCCGCTCACATGAAGCTCGTGGTCTAATCATCACAAACCAGAAGGAGATGGGAGGGTGTCCTGTGGCAAATGGGGTCACATGGGCAGGGGTGATGGGGCGGAGTTCCCACAGAGAGACCCACTCACCCTAAACACAAAGCACTCTCCAGTCCCAAAGAAGCCCAGTTTGCCTCCAAACTTATTTCTCTCTCTCCAGTCTGTCGACAGGTAAGCTCCACACACCTGGGAAAAAAGGCCCTGGTGAGGCTGCGTCCTGCCTGCCTGCAGGAGCGCCCTCGCTCAGGGCCTGCTGAGGGGCCGTGGGATGGTCACAGCCCCCCCACTCGAGGGCAAGGGCAGCAGGTGGAGAGTGGTGTGGGGAGGTCAGAGTCTGGAGGGGGCAGGGCTGGCAGTGAGCGGGGGTGGCTGCCTTGCTGCCATCAGTTTGTTTGGGATACTTTCATTTCCCTCCTTGGCCTCCGAGCATGGGAACGAGCCCCACGTCACATTCATTTTGGGCATCCGCCCCAGGAAGGCCCCTCAGATGGAAGGTTCCAGGAGGTACCCCTCTGCAAGAACATTCCCCAAATCCCCATCAGCCAGCAGAGCACTTGATTTCACCATTAGGGAGTCAGTCCTTTGAGTGGCTGCAGAGTTTGCCCAAAGTGTCTGACAGTCAGAGTCACCTGTTATAAAACAGATGCAGAGTCTGGAATAGGGTGAGGTACCTAAAACTCCTGTGGGTGCAAGTTTGGCAGCCACTGCCCAAGGAACTTCTACCGCATACAGATGCCCCCAGGATGGGGACACATGAGCTCTGACCTTTGTAGACATCTCAGGGTACTTTCCAGGTGACAGCTACTGCAGAGGACTGGGCTCAGAGACCCACCTGTTGGGTGGAGGCAGGGGGGCAGGGGACTCAATGGGCGCTGGCCCACTAGCCACTTCTGCAACGATCCTCTAAGCTGTCAGGCTGTTTCTACAGGGGCCTGGACCCCCCAGGGAAACAGGGAGGCCCTGGGTACTTGGGGGGCTCAGACGGGGAGGCTGGATTCACCTCTCTGTGGACAGCCAGCTCTGCTCTGCGCCCCTAAGCACAGGAAGCCTGGATAGAAGCTGCCGGAGAGCAGCAGACTCCCCAGAGCTCATCAGAGGCCCGGACCCCAGGCTCCCTCTGGTCACTCCTCACCTCCTTTTGTGTGGTCTTGATGAGCAGGAGGGTGGGCTCATGTCCTTCACACTGGAAATAGAACCTGGGGGCAGAGACCACATGTGCCAACCCTGACGGCAGCTGTCACCCGTTCAGCCCTCCCTTGCCATCTCCACAGCGCCCACAGAGTCTGAGAAACCCAGGCTGTCTCAGGGTGGATGGGCCTGGGAACTGTGTGCCTTTATCTCTTGGGGACCAGGCACAGTGACCAAGGACCTGGCATCACCTGGCCTGGGTACTCTTCTCAGCCAAGATGGAGACCCAGCCAGGCGGCCTGCAGGCCGAGTGGTCAGCCACGTCAGGACTGTTGCCCTGTCTGATCGGGGGGAGAAGCTGCACAGCAGGTGGCCCCCAGCAGCCAGAGCCATGTGCCAGGTGCTACTGGGAAACAAGTACCAGAGGAACAGGTCCCCGCTCTAGGAAAGCCCAGAATGTCCTCAGAAGCCCGAGCATGTGGGAGCCAAGTGGCACCAGGAAGTGGGTGAGGAGGCCTGAGGCTGCCACTGTGGCGGCACCAGGTGTCCAGGACTTGGCTGGCGTCCCAGGTGGCCTTGCTTGGCTGTCCCTCAGCGGGCCTCCCACACTGCACAGAGGTGGGGGCCGGGTGAATGCAGCTCCGGCTATGCCATAATGCTTGTGGGGCTGCAGATGGTGCCCGCCATGTGGGCTGGGCCAGCTCTGCCTGTGTCACCTCTGCTAGGTCACCTGTGACCCAAGCCAGAGCTTCTGAGCACACATGCCGTCTCAGACTCAAGGGAGGGGCTGCACCTGGCAGAGCTGCCTTGGGAGGCATAGCCTGGACACGGGCCAGGGCCCGGCACAGGCACAGCCCCACAGGGCCAACACAGACCTGGCTTGTGGCCTGACGAGGTTGGGGAGGAGAGGAGTGAGCCAAGGCCTGTTCCTCGACTTGTCCTCTCCTACAGGTCTGGAAGCTCCTGGCTGGGAATTCTGCCTCCTATGTCATCACAACGCCTACACGGGGGCCTGGAGCTGTGACACGTATGGCAATAACCCCTGAAGCTTGAGCAGCCTGGGAATGAAAGAAGCCCAGAAAAGGGGCTCCCAATTCTAAGGCCCCCGAGGAAGAGGCAGGGCCTTGCCCAGGTGCCCAGGTTCAAAGGCCCATTTCCAGCCACCACAGTGACCTCCTGGAAGCATGGGCAGGCCTCGAAGCTGGGCAACTCCACGGCTCACTCTGCCCCCGCGTGCACCCTCCAGCCCTCGAAGTCCATGCCTCAGGGCCTCGGGAGCGCAGGACCCACCTCCCCCAGCCTCCTGGGCCTTACCTGGTCAGGCTGTACCCGTGCTGCAGCGAGGAGAAGAGCAGGAGGGGCTGGCAGAGGGCAAACCGCTCAGGGACCCAGGACCAGATGTCTCTCATCTCCTTCACGCTGACGATCTCCGAGTGGAAGTTCTCCGCGTGGACGGCCAGGTGCACAAACTGCCTGGGGAGAGTGGAGAGGGGTCAGAGCGCAGCTGCCACCCCAGCCCTGACCACGCACCCCCAACCTGGAGAGGTGCAGCACCCCTCTGGGAGCTAAGCCTAGAGGAGGCTCCTCACCTATTCAGGAAGAAACGGGGTGGAGCTGATCCCTGGAGCCCCACCCCGTTAAAAGAAGGGAGAGCACCCAGCCTGGGTGGGGACAAAAGCACCTTTTCTCTAAGAAACAGGGACAGAGAGCGAGTCAGCTCTGGCAAAACAATGCTTCAGGACCAGCCAAGCACCAGCAGACAGCATAACTGAGGCAGCCGAGCAGACAGACAGACAGACAGACAGATGGTGCCTGAACACTGGCCAGGCTCCGAGGCAGCACTGCTGAAGCCAGCCCTGCGAGCCAGAGCAAGCAGCCAGGCCCTGGGACAGCCAGACTGGAAGACAGAGAGAATCCAGCCGTGGAGATGTGGTTTCCAGACCTACCTTTTATAAAGTGAAACACTGAAAGACAGGAGGAAGCAACGGACATGGAGAAAAGGAAGAAAAATAAAAGAGACAAGAAGAGGTTAGTGGCAAGAACTGATGCCCAGGATACACCTGCCTTTGGCCCAGGAGAAAGGCCTCCCACCTATGGCACGGTCACAGTGTCCACCCCAAGATGGTCTCAGGACACTGTGGGCCCTTCCCTGCTCCCCAAGGGGCTGTGCTCAAGAGATGGGGGTACACCAAGCAGCCAAGAAAACGGCCAGCAAGGGAGCCAGAGCTGGAGGGGCAGAGCAGGGGCTGCTCTAAAATGACCAGAGGCGGCCAGCCTGGCCAACTGCCAGAACTTCTGACCCCACGGTCAGTATCCAGCTTCCATCTCAGCCATGGGCCTCACGCCTGAGGACAGGGCCCTGTGCCCTCCATGCCCACAGCTGCCTCAGCAGCCCGTGGCTGTAGCCAGGAAGGCTCTTTTTCCCTTCCTGGGATTTTCTATCCACGCACGCATGGCTGGCTGACTGGCCGGCCACAGACAGACCAAGAGGCTGGCAGGATAAGCTCATGCCCCAGACCCCCAGGATGCATTCTACCAAAGCCCTGCCCCCCGCGGGCCCCTCACAGCCTGCCCAGAGGCCAGTGACACCCACAGCCCCAAGAGACCTGCCCACCTCTTTTGCTTGACGGTGATACCCTTCTGCTTCAGGGCTTTCTCGTTGGCCATCTGCAGGAGCTGAATCTCCTTCCGAGAGAAGAGGCGGATGGCAAATGCTTTCTCCAGCAGCTTCTCGGGAGACACGGTCTTGGCGATGTCCTTGACAAAGGTGCGAATGTCCTGTTTCACGTTGTCCGACTCTAGTGGCTGCCCAGCTTTCACCTTGTGGAAGAACTTGAGGATTGCCAGAGCGACTCGGTACAACACCTTGTAACCTTCCACCAGGAAGACATCAAAGACGCGAGCAAAGTAGCTGAGGGGCAGCTCCCCGAACAGCCAGCGCTGCCAGTCCGCGTAGACCTGCAGGACATCCTCCGACACAGCCACCATCAGCTTGTGGGCCGCCTGGCAGTACTTGTTCACCAGGTCCCCAAACGTCATGCAGGAAGACTCAAAGGCCAGGAAGCTCTGGTCGATCAGCTTCTTGCTGGGGTCGTTGCAGGCCAAGATGCGGCAGGCCTTCTCGAAGCACTCGGCCTCGTCGATGCTGTAGTGGAGCAGCAGGGCCACGATGGAGGGCAAGGCGGGGCAGAAGGAGATGTCAGGGAACTGGTTGGCGATGCACAGCAGGATCTTACGCACGGCGCCCTCGCCTCGAGTGTTCAAGCAGTAGCTGGGCACCTGCGTGTTGTCCACAAATTCAGGCAAGGGCAGGCTGCTGCTGCTGTGCTTGCCCACGATCTTGCCCACAATGTCACTGTACACACTGGCATCGGGCGTTACCGTGCGACAGGGGATGTCCCGGATCAGGCGCTGGTACACCTTTCCCCGCAGGGCATAGCTGCGGGCCCAGTAGCCCTGGCGTGCCAGCTGCTTCAGCTCCTGCAGCTCGGTGCAGCTCAGCTCCTTGGGCCCCAGGTCCTGGATGGCAGCGTCCATCTTGTCTCTGTCCACAAAGCAGTTGTACCCCGGGGAGTCCATAGTGCAAGGCACACCTGGGAGGAAGGCCCTTGGGCTGGCAGGAGGCGGCAAAGAGCAGCTAAATCCTCCAGCCCCCTCTCCGAGGCTTCTCTGCTAACCCGTTTGCTCCTCCATACCCTGTAGGGTTACAAACCATGCTGACTACACGTGTGGAGGTTCGTATTTGAAAGAACATGTTTTTTTTTTGTGTGTGTGTGAGGAAGATCAGCCCTGAGCTAACATCCATGCCAATCCTCCTCTTTTTGCTGAGGAAGACTGGCCCTGAGCTAATATCCATGCCCATCTTCCTCCACTTTATATGGGACGCCGCCACAGCATGGCCTGACAAGCAGTGCGTCAGTGTGCGCCCAGGATCCTAACCCGGGCCGCTGGCAGCAGAGTGCACGCACTTAACCGCTATGCCACAGGGCCGGCCCCAGAAAGAACATGTTTTATTTTAATCTTTCTATAAAGTATTAGAAGGCTTTCCATTTAAGATAAGTGGGTATTCTGAGAATTCACTATGAATTCTGGAATATAACTTCTTTTCATAGCGCTTATGAAATTACTGGACTAGGTCACATGGATTCCAAGTAACAAGAAGCTAGAGACGAGTTCCCAGAAGGGCTTTGAGAGCCTGACCCTGCTGAAAACAACTCTTTGTTTCGGGGTGGGTGGCCCACCAGGCTCCCACATACCATCCTGCGGCCTGCTGGCCTTCTGAGAGGAGCTGCTGGTCAAGAAGACCCCAGTAAGTCAAGAGATGCTTCGCTTCAGTTCTCAGAGCCTTCAGGTCTTTAACCACCTGCCTATCACGAGGAAGACGCACACCAACTCTGCCCCACCGTCCCTTGGTTGGAATTTGGAGACCAGTTCTTAACTTTCTAAAAATGCCAGCTAAGTTCCCGGCAGGCCCTCCAGAGAAGAATCACTGGTGGGGAGCAGATATGAGGACTGAGAAACAAATGGACGGTGTCACAGGTTCAAAATTAGACATTTCTGGGTCCAAAGGAGCCAGAAGTATTGGGGGATTTGGTGCTACCTCTCCATTATGGGCAACTACGGAGATTCAGGCAGACATAAAAAAGTGGGTAAGATGTGCTACGTGAGACTCTCTGGCTGACGGGTCACTGCATGTGGACAGCGAGACAGAAGTCTACCGTTCAGCATACCATAATTTAACATCTGTTTTTGCCAAAGGCTACTGTCGGCACAAACCACAACAGTCTGCCCACACACCTCAGACTAACCTTTCCGCTTGGGATGGGACAAGTGTCTGGAGATGTCACAAGGGTTTACTTCAGCGAGTTTTGGTAAATGACCAGATCATTCCAGTTTCTCTTGCGTCTAGAACATTCATCTGAAAATATAAAAAGCAAATCCTACCTTAAGAATATTGAGTGGAAAGAATTATAGTGTAAAACCTGTATGTGTTAGAAGATGTCTTGAGAAACACTTTGAAACAGTATTTTTTTCTTATTGTGGTTAAAATATGCATAGCAAAATTTACCATTTTAACCATTTTTAAGTGTACAGTTCAGTGGCATTAAGTACATTCACATTGTTGTGCAACCATCACCACCATCCATCTGCAGAACTTTTTTATCTTCCCCAGTTGAAACTCTGTCCCCATTAAACACTCACTCCCCATGCCCCTGCCCCAGCCCCTGGCACCCACCCTTCTACTTTCTGTCTCTATAAATTTGACTACTCTATTTTATTTAAGTCTTTATTTTTTTAGAGTAGTTTTAGGTCCACAGCAAAACTGAGGGGAAGGTACAGAGATTTCCCACACACCCCCTACCCCTGCACATGCACAGCCTTTCCCATTATCAACATTGCTCACCCAAGTGGTACATTTGTTACAAGTGATGAACCTACATTGACACATCATAATCACCCAAATCTGTAGATTAATGAGGGTTCACTCCAGGTGCTGTACATTCCGTGAATGTAGACATTTGTAAAGTGACATGTATCCTCATTATAGTATCATACAGAGTATTTCCACTTCCCAAAAAATCCTCTATGCTCCACCTATTCATCCCTGCCCACCCATTTATTAGAATTTCATTCCTTTTTATGGCTAAATAATATTCCACTGTGTGGGCAGACCACATGTTGTTTATCCATTCATCTGTCGATGGACATTGGGTTGTTTTCACCTTTTGGCTACTGTGAATCATGCTGCTGTGAACACGGGTGTACAAGGAACTGTTCAAGTCCCTGCTTCCAGTTTTTTGGGATTTATATCCATTGATACCGTTCTTATAGGGCCTTCCTCATAGAAAACATCAATTAAAATAAAGTTTTGTGACAACATCCACTTAACATGTCTCACTGGAAAAGCCTTGCCCACAGCAGGACCAGGCCTGCTGCCAGTGCTGGAACCTTTTTCCTCAGAAGACAAGAAACCCTATTGGCAGTTGATTCCTTTGCTCTGTCCTGGGAGGGAAAGCAGTGAGGGTCCCCCTCTTCCCCAGGTTCTGAAGGCCAGGCCAATAAGCCCACTCACATCCCCACTGCCATGCCCACGCTGCACTCCACAATCTTCCCTGTGCAAACTACCTATTGAGTTTAAATCCTTCATTCTAGGCTCTGAGCCCACTAACTTCTGGAGGGACCCCAGGCCCATCCTGTCTGCACGAAAAGAACCGGCTCCTTCTCGGGGCAATAAACCTGTTTATAAACAGAACAGGAGCTGGACAAGACAGCGGCAACCCTCACTCAGCTGGCCTCCGATTCGGGTTGAATATTAAACTGCAGACTCCAAGAACAGCTGCTGCACCTTGAGAGTTCCTTCTGAAGGACCTTCAGGGAGCAGCAGACCCACAGTTTCGTTTGCTGCAGCAAGTCACCCAGGGACGTGCTGGATTCGGAGGGACTCTGAGGCAAAGACACGTGTAGGAGACCCTGAAGGAGCCCCCTGGCCCCTGCAGGCCTCCTCCCCAAGCCCCCACCTGAAAGAAGAGCATGGCGTTTCTGGGGCAGCAAACAAGGCTCGCAGTGACCTCCTGAGGCGTCTATAAAACCAGGTCCAGGGTGGTTTCCTTAGGTTTTTTTTTTAACATGCATAATCACAAAAATGCCAAACAATACAAAATCAGGGGCCGGCCCGGTGGCACAAGCGGTTAAGTGCGCGCACTCCGCTGCGGTGGCCCGGGGTTCGCCGGTTCGGATCCTGGCCGCGCACCGACGCACCGCTTGGCAATACAAAATCAGAGAGTAAAACTGTAAAGTCCTGTTCAAGTTATACCCTCAACCCTACTCCCTCTTCTGCTGATGACAGTCACCATCTACTTTTGTATTGTTTTAGTGCATATCCTTCAATGTCTTTTTCTTGCATTTTCGTGCACATACATTCACAACCAAGTTAGACTGTTTAAGCTGGCTGTCAGGAGGGGGCAGTCAGGGAGCAGGAACAGATCAAAAACGTGCCACCCTGCAGGCTGGACCCTCCCGCTCGGGGGTGGTAAGTGGTAGAGCTGAGGTGACACTCCCTCCCAGTGATTCACCTGCAGCTGGAGGCTGTTGGGCATCGCTGTCCACACCACCTGCTCCCAGCAGGAAACAAGCCTTCAGCTATTCCCCACAGTCCCCCAGCTCCTGATAAAGGTACCAGGCCTGGGGAAGGTCACACTTCCTCGTACACACCCAGCGGCCGGGGGTACAGAAGCGAGGCAGGAGCTAATGCAGGAAATGATCCTGTTCAAGTCAGACGGGCCTGGCTTCCAAGTCCAGCTTTGCCGCTTGTTTGCCTGAACTTCAGACAAGCCATGCCTCAGCCGGCAGGTGCCTGTCGGTAAAACACAGCATTAGTCCCCACGCAATACCTGCAGGCTGAGCTCTTTTTTGTGTGTGTGTGAGGAGATCAGCCCTGCGCTAACATCTGCCAATCCTCCTCTTTTTTTGCTGAGGAAGACTGGCCCTGGGCTAACATCCGTGCCCATCCTCCTCCACTTTATACGGGACGCCGCCACAGCATGGCCTGCCAAGCAGTGCATCGGTGCGTGCCTGGGATCCGAACCAGCGAACCCCAGGCTGCTGCAGTGGAGCGCATGCACTTAACCGCTTACACCACCGGGCCGGCCCTGGCAGGCTGAGCTCTTACTCCGGGTTCACCCACTCTCTCTCTCACTTCCCCTCGCCCCTGCTCCGGCAGCCCAGGGCAGAAGGCCAGCAGGGCCCAGCCAGCAGGTGCCCCAGAAAACCACTTTCCCTTGGCCTCAGGAGGTGGAAAGAAGGAATAATTTCTCACCACAAACACCACAGTCACCTAAAGGCCCCCCCAAGTTTACTGTAGAGGAATAGGGGTGGGGGAGGGCTGGTTCTCTGAGGTGGTACCTCTTCACCAGCTGTGCGAGGAGCCCATCAAGCTGCTGGAAGCTCCCTGAATTTGGAATGTAGGCAAGTACTCTGTGTCTTTTGTCCTCAGCTTTGACCTAGCCTGCAATTCTAGGAAAATAGGAAAAATTCCACTCACCATCCTGTTAGAGTCACAAGACCTGCAGACAGGCTCATTTCAGAGAGTGGGGGACACCACACAGCACGTCTGGATGCTGGTGGCTACTTTAGCTAAGGTAGTCAGGGCAGACCTCTCCCAATCTGAGCTGAAGCAATGAGAGGGAAGCAGCCAGAAGGGCTAAGGAAAGTCACTCTGGACAATAAGAAGAGCAAGTGCAAAGGCGGTGAGGCAGGAACTGGCCTGCTGTGCTCCGGGAAGAGAAGGGCGTTCAGTGTGGCCGGAGCACAGCGAGCAAGTGGAGAGCAGTGAGCCAGATCACGCACGGAGGAGGAGTTTAGATTTTATTCGAAGCACAGTGGGAAGCAGGGAAGGGCTGTGATCCAACGGATGTGTTTAAAAGTCAATTGTTGTGAGGATTAACTGAGACCGTTTATAGAAAGCACTCAGCACAGCCTGGCGCGCCAAGGCAGCTCAGATGTCCCAAGGGCCTCTCGTTGTTACTGCTCCTCAGGGTCCCCTGACCTGGCACTGGCTCAGGGACGTCTGGGGAGTGACGGGTCCCAGTGGGTCAACGCCCGATCAGTTTTGCCAAGAGGCCCGAGCACACCTCCTCCTCATGGGAGAGGTGCAGCCACAGGATAGACCCGCGCAGGTCCCCTGTTCTCTCTTTGGGGACAGTCCCTCCAACGGCCTCTTGGACGGACCTGCTTCCCCTTCCCTGCCTGTGCCGCGGCTTCTCCACCCCTGTAAGCCCTTTCCAGTGACCCGCACAACCCTTTCCTACACAAATACTGTGCCTGTTTTGAGAGTTCAGGCTACCTGATGGGAAGCAAATATTTCTTTAAAAATAAAAAAATATAAGAGGAAATTGACCTCTATTTCCCCAAAATGTTATGTTACCACATTGGTGACACTTTGGTCCAGCTCTCCGTCTGGTCGTGACGACCACTGTGCCCTCTGGCTGGAGTACACTGTCCTGAGTCTGCTAAGGCCCAGTTCACAGCAGGCTCTGGTGAGACTCAATGCTTGATGGCCCCCTTCAGTGGCTCCAGGCCTGCAGCCCACAGCCCCCTCCCCATGGGCCTGGGCCAGGGCAGTCCCTTTTGGGAAGGGTAGTTTCTGTGACACAACACTTCGGCCAGGAATACCCCATGGGGGCTCAAATAAACCCCAACGCTGTCCTCCATGGTGAACCCCCTAAGCATGCCCACAGGAAGAGGGAAGTGGCCAGCGGGGGTGGGAGGAGCCCAGGCCCCCCTGAATCCGCTGGCTCTGCTACATTGGGTGTGCGGCCCTCCGAGCAGATTTCTGAGCAGGAGAGGGGTGGGAGGAGAACATGGATATGGGAGGAAAGACAAGACTTCACTGTGGACAGTGGGCAGGAGACACCCAGGACCAAGCAGCTGGCACTCCCTATTCAAGCAGGACCACCTCCCACCCCATCCTCAGGGATCTCGGAACACAAACTGCATAGCCGCTGGCTGCCAGGGGATTTAGCTTCACAGTCCTATCTCCTCTAATCCCGAGGACAACCCCATACGCACAGGGACTTGCTCTACTTTACAGATGAGGAAACGGGGATACAGAGAAGCACCTGAGGGTCCCCAGCACAGGGAGAACCAACCCAGTTCTGTCAGCCTCCAGAGTGCTCATGGTGACCCCTCTCCCACCACAGGGGCACAGGCACCCGGGATGGTCAGCTCTGCCCATGTGCCCTCCTCAGCAAGTTCAGGGCTGGCTTCCCAATGCCACACCACTGTCCCAAAACACCATGTAGGGTCTGATGAGTCAAGAGACCTCGACATTTCTCATCTCTTAAGTGGGGAGCATGATTTTCTCCAAACTGGATTTGAAAACAAACTTGCTTTCATGTGACAAAAACAGA